CATCCAGCTATCTTGGGTTGCAAATGCAAATTTAACCACACAGATCACTAGGTAGTTGAAGGAATAGTTTGTTATTAATAATTTTCTTACAATAAAATTACAAATGTGTCTCATGTGTTCCTCCCTGAACTCATGTGACTCACCTTAAGGATGTGCATATTACAATTTTAACCGGAAGAGTTGCACGTTTATACATCTGCTGACATTTTTTTAGTCTGCACACAAGTAGTACAGAAAAATCCCAATGAGCTTGGCACAGATACATCTCACAGAAAAGCACTTCCACCCCAACACAGAGCCTCAGAGGCGCAGTCCTGTACTAACATGAACAACCCCGCAACAGCAACACAGAAACTTACTGTAGCCCCACACAGTCCCACTCCAACAGGGATGCGGCATCACGCAGGTGGCTACTGTGTCCGAATGTCACCATTCCTGATGACACATCCACTGCACTGTCTCTGTGGAACTCTCTACTGGAGTGCCACCAATCCCTCATGATTGGAATGATGGGGAACCCTACAGCTTCCTTCCAATGACATTGTGATAAGCATCAGGAAATGCAGACTGCTATAAAGTTTAACTTGAATGAAGACTAACACAGGTATGCTAGGGATCAGACAGAAGGCCCAACTGGAAAGCAGGAGTCCAGTGATGCTCCTCCAACGGTAGTGAAAGTCTCTGTGCAGAGAGTGTTGGATCGTTCCCAGTGATAATGTCTCACTTTAAGGAGACATATTAGGATCACATTCCCTAATAAAGCTGCGATACTGAGAAAAACCATAGCTAAATTTAAACCCCGCTCGCAGCTTCCGTCGTCGATTGTCTCCTGATAGCAGTCAAGTGATGCAACCCAGAGCGCAGAAGTAGTAATGCATCATCCAGAAATAAACTCCAGACCGCTGTGGCGAGTCCTGAGATGTTCCGAGATGAACGGTATCGCCAGGTGATATCACAGAGACCCTTTAGGGGACACCCCCATGCTCCACACACCCCCATGCTCCACACACCCCCATGCTCCACACACCCCCATGCTTCTACCTGTATGAATGGTGCCACCTCACTACCTGGACTCTGTGGTGCTAAAGAAGTGGTTCTTTGCCTCCTAAGTCATGCCGAATCCTGACTCACTGGTGCAGTGGCAAGCCACTGCAGTCTGTCTACATCAGCCACAAAGTCACAGACACTCGTTTGCACTTCTGACTTTGTGAGGACTTCCCATTGACACTCATTATATGGCCATTAATGAGTGAACACTGTAGCCAATTGAAACATCAAAATTCACATAAAAACACCAACTCAGGAAATAAAGCAGCAGATGAAGTTGCAAAGGAGCCGTGTTTTGTATGGATGTCCTCCCAATGTCTTTCATGAGGCACTATCTTTGAAGAGGCAAAAGTCGTCTTCACAAGGGTAACACAACCTGCAAATGCAAACAAGCACACACAAAACAAACACTGGTGGCTTTTCTTGTTCACCTCATTAAGGCATTTTGGGATGGCGGTAAACCAAATCTCACGAGAAGATACCAGCAGAGGAGACTTTTCATAAAATGTCACCGAGGGAAGGTGACTGAAGCAGACATGTCCTGGAAGAGCAGAGACAGCCCAGGATGCCAACATTTCTCCAGCATCTCCTTTTAGGTGCCCTGGCAGGGTCGCACATTCAAAGAGCAATGTCGGCTTACGGCACATGGATATCACCTTTTTTCTTGAACAGCTCCCACTGAAAAATGAGACTTCACTTCTAATGAGCAGACTTCTCCAACAAGCTTCTCAAGCATAACCACAGAATGTAATATACTTGGAATGGTGACAATACAATGTATAACAATACAGCATGTTTGTGATTAAACAGACCACCAGCCAAAGCAGCGGACATGCTGCAGTAGGGATCTGGGTTCAATCCCAGCCAAGCTGTGTTAGCTGGATAGGCCTGGATTTCTGGAGAACTTCTGAGGGGCTAGACAGCCAGGTAATACTCCCTGGCCTTACAGTCTACCATTGGTTTGGCAAATACAGGGCTTTGGGTCGAACTGAAGCTCTCCCGCCAAGCATTTTACATCATACAAGGAACCCCTCTTAGTCGAAGAAGAGCAGACCACTTGCAAAACTTTTCCTGAGTTCATACGGTTGTCATTGGTTGAGAGGGGAAACTAGGAGAAATAGGATAATTGGCCATTCCAGATTGGAGATAAATGAGGGGGAAAGGCATATTGTGCAATTACATTGGAGTACGCATATCAAGTTACATTTTCTACGATTTCTCACTAACTGTATTTAGCAGCGAGTCCATGGACGTGTACGAGGCAGAATCATTAAAAAAATAACATGCTTAAAGCAACAGTCAAAGTGCAAAGAGCACAAGCTGTCCTTTATCAATAAATCACTGACTTGTTCGTGGACCTGCACAGTGTAAATCATTAACAGCAGTACTGTCACAATCTGTGTAAAAAGGATTTTTAAAAATCAAAACTACTCTTGCTCAAACCAGGGGGGATTATATAAAAACACAGGAAATGTGTAGTTGTGGATAGAAATCAATAATATTTTGGCCTGCAGCCTCAATTGCTGCTTCATAAGAAGGGCTTTCACAATGATACTGTATCTCCAGCTGAAAACTTGAGAGTTTGAGATCTATGGCATTAACAGGGTCTACATGTGAACCACCTAATTTTCCATTTCAGGAAATTGTGTTGGTCACTATATGCTGAAAGTTCAAATATATGCATGTTTTGTAGTCACTCGCATTATCCGGCAATGAGGAGCATATCCTATGACCTTTGATTGGCCAATGTACAGGAGAGAGTTGTGCATGGATTCACAATCTTCTTAGGGTTTGTCCCCATCTCTGGGGAGCAGTAACTCCGATCAGTGTGACCCAGAGGCACTCAAATATTCTGGTGTATTGAAGCTAAACAGTAATACCGCTTTAAGTATTTAACATTCTTGTAAAAGAGTTCCCAAAAAAGGTGACAGCTGCAGCCCTTCACTGGGGGACCAAGCATCAGATCAGCAGGATAAAGTATCTATGTGACAACAAAAATGTTTGTTTCTTGGAATTAAACTGCAAAGGAAAAAAGGGAGATATAAACAGCTGTGGGGAAAAAATGTTCAATACAAAACCAAGCTCTAAAAAATTTGAATGAGAAGATAATTTCATTTTAAAGTCATTAGAAAAAGCCTGAGATTTAACCCATAACTGATTAGTATTTTCCATGACAGTCTACATCCCTCTTCACATTGTCCATACATTCCATGTAAGTAGTTTTTACAGAAAAAACAGCCTTTTTTTTATAACTTTACTTTCATTATTTTAACAGTATGGCTGTTTTAGGTTAGCGTCATTCTTCCATCCCAACACCGTAATTGTACATAGCATTTCATAGCATTGCTTATCTATGTTTCTATGACGTGGCCATCTGTCACCCTACATACCATATTAAATGCTTTCCTGTTACCTTTATCAGTTACATTTTTGCCTTCAAGCTAAGCTGACTTGACTGATCACGGAAATGCAAATTGAAATAACCGTCAACAGGACTTAATAGTACGGACTTCACACAAACTTGAGGCAGCTTATTAAACGCATGTTAAGTTATGCGTCCATAGCAACAGTAATACACTAAAAATCATAATAGTGAGCGTCATGTTAAGAAAATTCATGTTGATCCCATCAACCGCATAACTATTTCTCTATTTCTTAACATCTTTAACCCGCAACAATAATCGATCCACTTTATTTATATCATTAAAACATCGTATTTTGAACTTGCGTGCGACATTATAAAAATAAAGAATATATTTTGTACTAATTTAAAGATCTATACTACGTCTGTACATGGGCCGAATTAGAACACATTTTATTTAAATCTTTCTACATAATTTCCTCTAATTTTAGAGATGTTTAAAAAACAGTTGACCTTGAACTTCTAAATGCGGAGCCAAAGCCATCGGCACACTTTTTAGAACAACTTAAATGAAAAAAACACCTTGGGGATTTTGCAATCTGCGGTTTGCTAAATGCAGCCATTATTCACCGTAAAACAAGCAAATAAATATCTAAATAACTTGTTTTAAATGACGAAGAAGACCTTTCCCGTGTACATACGATGAAACCTCCGAAGTACATGTACTATTCGGGTTTAATTAAATATACTTTTTAAACTTGAAAGGGCCACTTAAGATGACAACAGAGGAAAGGGAATGCAGTGGTTTAATCTAAGGAAGGTACGTCCATGTCACAGGGGATTTCGCTATTTTCCAGAAAAGGTTATACTACAGTGATGCACACAAAAATGTATACAGATAAGAATATGCGTACTAAAGGAGGTATGTAGCCAGCATTAATTGTGTTTAATGCTACAGAGATTGGCAGTAATTTAAAAACTGCAGACTGATTAACATTTCGTAGTGAAATAACTGGTGGCTTTTCTTTTTTTCTGGCGGTGACTGGAAGGAGCGCATGCCTGTCCGAGATCTCCGTACACCTCGGACTGTCCCTCTCATCCACCCCTCCGGACCGTCCGGCGGACTGCTAGCGAGCCGGCCATCCACTGAAAGACACCGCCTCGGGAGATAGCTGCCGCCGCGGCTTTTTGTGAAGGGACAGACAAGTGATCTGACGGGACGCTTCACACACACACATATGTGTACATATATATGAATGTGTACATACATGTATGCATGTTACGTAACACACATGGCATCATACTGCGTTCAGAGAAAATGTCGGTGTGATCCACTAGCAAATCAAGCTACCTCTCATACCGAGTATTAATTTGACTTAGTTCGGGGTTATCCGCGGTTGTTATCTATTCATATCTTCCGGGTCAATTCGCCAGCAATATGAAACGAAACGTTAAAGATAACCATAAATCCCGAACGAAACAGAAAAGTGACTTTCGGGCAGCTGGAGCCGGCTAGTTGGCTAATCGGACCGCATCCCGACACTAGCGGGAGAAGCTCTGAGGTACGCAGCCACCTACCGATGCCACTCACCGTAGCGCCGCACGTCGGAACCCGACACCGGACCCAGCTTAGCACCGTTTGCTTATTGCCTAAACAGTTGGTCTGAACGGCGCGAAGTGCGCGACTAAAGTTCGCGCAAGCATCCCCAGCGCGGAGCCGGTTCGGCGGTTCTGACCGACAGTGGGATCGATGGGCTGCCCGATCGCCTTGACAGCAGCTGCGTTTGTAAACACGCGCCAGAGGCGCGCGGTGTCCCTCGCGGCGTCGCGCGTGGCAGCCTTCGCGTGCGGTCCCGACCCAAAACGATGACGGCAAACACATTTTCACAAGAGAAGGAGAACTTACCCAGAGGTAAGAAAGGTTTAGTTTCCATGTTCTAGTCGGTTAGCTCATGCCAGCTGATGTTTCGGCCAAAGAAAATGAAAAGGTCTTATCGCGGGAGAACCAAAATGATCCAGCGGTTGACGGCAATCGTGTCGGAGCGGAGCTCCGTTGTGTCAAAATTCACTAAACTAGTTCTGTCTGTTTGAGCTCTTCTCTTGCGCTCTCCCTCTCGCTCAACTACTATTCCAACCACTGGAGCTAGATCGCAAAGGGACCCTCCCAGGGGGGACTCCCACTGCCACATGCGCTCACGCAGCGACGCGAAACAAGCGCCGCTAGTTCATGATTAACCCCTGTAAGTAATCGGCTTGGAGCTCGCATGCGGTATGAACGCTTTTGAACAGCTCTAAATCAATATATAACTGAAATATCCACTATATATCAAAAAAGCATGAAATTCAGTTATCATTTTACAATTAAAACCGCGAATAACTTAAACTGAAAAAGTTTTAAACCAAAGCAGTTTCAGTGCAGTTACGATCATTTCGGCGAATTATTTAAAAACGATGTCTTCATTATTGTATTCATTACTGTATTCAAGGAAACAATTCCCCACCAAAAAGAAAACTGAAATAATGGCATTTATATTCACAAATTATTACTGCCAAACCGGCAGTTCAAATCAGAATTTATTCTGTTTCTTACGTTAATTGGCTTTGAGTTTTGTGCATTATAACATTTTCACAGAGCTGGAGAAATGAACAGTTGCGGGTTTTACCGGAAACCTGTCCATTTTTATTTCAAAAAACCTTGGGGACCTTGCGGCTGTGCAACTGTTCAGCTGCGCGAAAATATGAAGTAGTTATTTAAGTATCCCTGGCTAAAGCAAATTGGCAAGCAAGTACATAACCTGAAGGCGATGAAAGCGGTTAAAGACACTGTATTTGGCCATCGGTGTGGATCTTAAGGAGTCTCCTCATAACTAAGGAGCTGTTATTCTTTTATAAGACCAGGTGGGTGTGTGGGTAAGGGAGGGCGGGGGCTATCTGGTTGAGTATGTCCTTTAAGATTATAATATACTATACTAACAAAAAGTAATTAACGTGGGCAGGAACACAAGACAACGACACAATAGAATATGCAAGCAGTGTAGCCTAGTGGTGACACAGAAGGCCAAAGCAACCCAAAGAAGCATTAGATACCTGACACTTATTGCTCCGGACAAGGTGCTTAGGCCAAGTCATTTGGCCCCTTCTCCTGATACTTACCTAGGTATTAACAACAGCAGTTGTCAGACTGCAGATCTGGTCCATGCACTGCCTGTCAGTTTAGTTTTTGCTATAAATTAAATGTAGAGCAATCAATTGCAATTAGAACAACTGAAGTAACTGAGTTAACCTTTTTCCAACAAAGAAATTTTACTGACAAGCAGGAATAACATATGTATATATTCAAATATATATATATATATATATATATATATATATATATTGTGAGTGTGTGTGTGTAGATATCTGTGTGTATATAGATAGTATGGTTTGTTTTGTTAGATAGATAGATAGATAGATAGATAGATAGATAGATAGAGTTTAAAAATTCTTGCTGCCTTCTGCTGAGATCTAAAGCCATCCTGGAGGCTGGTAAAGAAAGGACTACCTGTTTCTTTTCCACGGAATATTTGAACAAGCATGGTTGCTGCATTGGAGCTGGGGGCGTAATTCATGATTAATGCAGCGCGAGGCTTGGCTAAGATCAAAGGCATTTATTGACGCTGCGCAATAAACAGTCGGAGCAAGAATAACTCGTTACATTTGGTGCAGCAGTACAGCAGAGGGGAGTCAGTGAGTGAAGGCTCTTCTAGTCACATCGGCGGATGGCTCACTACTGAAGTGGGCCATTGACTAGTCAAGGACAAGTTACCATATGGAGGATTCTGTGTGTAGCTTAGAATTATATACGGCTGGTTTTTCTGTGCATGTTTGTATGTTACTACTTTATGGTATGATTATGATTTTGGCCATTTACCAGGTTCTTCTAAAGACTAGCCATGTGGCCACACAAGCAGATTTTGGGTATTGTAATAATTAATTAGTTTCTCTTGAGTTTTTTTTATCAACTAAAAACCCTTTCTGAAGTGTAAGATGAGGGAAAATGTAAATATTGTGAACCTGCTTATACTAAAAGGTGGAAGGGTCCTTGAGTTTTATTACTTTCTAGAAACTGAACATACAACAAAGGTAAAGTTTCTGAAAACAGGAGCTACAATCCGACTATGCAAAAAAATGCAACATGGATATATATTCCATTATTCTGTGTTTAGAATGAAAAATAATAAGTATATAACTATTCAGTCAAGTAATTTATTTTCAGGTACTGCATTGTTCCTCTAGTTTCCACTAATCAATGTCAGATGCAACAGATTCCTTTAAAGTTTCCCAATGGCTGGCTCTCTGGCCAACTACTGGCCCGGGCAGCTTCGTCCTGCTCGGCTGTGATTAATAGCCGTCTGACCTTTCACTTTTTTGGTATAAATCTCATAGGTCCTTTGGTCTAGCCTGTCACACTCACTCAAGAGCTCACTACTCACACCATGTCTTCACACAGCTGTGTGTAGCAGTCCATCTTTATTAGCTCCTCGATGTCCTGCGCTTTAAACAACACGGTTGCATCATGGAGAGACCACCATTACAGCTGGCCCTGAATTATGGTGACAATCGCCCCCTTTATCAGCTCATACTGCGCTAATGAGCTGTGGCTTCGTCGGAACCTTCACATGCCTCTCATCAATAACAATGATTATTGCTCCTTTTTGTTAACTGTAACAGTGGTTAACCAAGGGATAAACAAAGAGAAACGGGAATAAAATCAAAGAAAGAAAATGCAGTATTTGTCATAATGACTCAATGTCAGTCCTTTGCGTAACACCTATGTTTTCTTTTTTCCGATTGTCTACTCAGGTTACATTTCCCAAAACAAAAACCCGCATCTCTCCCACAAGATTTGGTTTGAAAAAAATAACATGCATCGTTCGGTAATGCCTGAACCAACTGTCCTTATGAGCAGTGTTCATAGCAGTATTGCTTTAAATACATGAGAGGGAAGGTTTGTGTGAAACACAAAGGAGGATTCCAGAAAGGAGTGTCAGAGAGCAGGTAAGAAAGGCTGGATCTGTGTTAGGGTGAAGCCGCTTGACAGAGGACAGATTCTGAGGGTCTCAGTGGCAGCAGAATGGGTTTGAGGCAGTGTCTTCAGGCTGTGGCATGGACCCGAAAGATCAATAGAGGTCCTGGGTTCACATTCCATGCCTGGGGGTCAGGGTCCTGTCTGGAGACAGCCCTGATCTGGAGGTCAGCTTCCCTTGTGGAGGGGTGAGTGTTCGCCCATGGGGACGGAGGAGAGACTGGCCCTTGATCAAGAACAGACTTACCAAGCCAACCGAAAACAACAATGAAATGGCTATCTGTTACCCGGCGGCTTGGATGAGAAGACGGCCCTCAATGGACAGCGCTTGAATTCGAAACCGCATGAGCAGTGATGATACATTTAAAAATAAACTGATGGCCAGTAAAACAGAGACTTGACATTCTTTACGGATTCACAAGACTCTGTGTTGCTGGCCCTTTTGACGGAAGGTGAAAACTACCTTGTAGGATAGTCCTCTGCTACGGTCATCAGATTTTCCTGATATAAAATAAGAGACAATGTCTCACAGATATTCCACACTGTCAGATTCAAAGTGATTATGAGAGCAGGAGTTAGGAGGCTTATCTAGAGATTATCGTGTATAAATAAGGTAACAGATGAGCTGGGAACGGGCCTCCCAGTTTGGGTCTGTGTCTGCGATGTGGATACTGAAAAATATTTTCATAACAGATTAGTCCCTAATGCTCAATGCCTGCTATCAATATTAAATATTATATGACCACTGGTTTGAGAGTGACAGAGATAGCATTTAAATTACTCCACAGGCTGCCTAGCAGGCTAAATCTGATGGCTGTAATATCAACACTTTCCATACATAGCCTGATCAATCATTCTTTAATACTGTATTAGACTGAAATTGGCTACATATAGATGCACCAATAAATCTCGACTGTTCTGGACATGTGATTTTGTTACTGCTGAGGTAGGAGGTACACAAGGCTCCCTCTCCATCAGGTTAATCTGGTTGCTGGCAGGGAGGCAATTGTCTGAGGAAGGCAATAGATAGCATGCGGTCTGTGGTGTTTTCGAAGGGGGCGAAATTAACACGGACCACTCTATCCTGGCCCTCTGGGATTAGCGGAAAAGAGGGACAGATGCTGCTCTTTGCTGAAGCTCAGCAAGGTACTGTAGAACTTGGACTGTAGGAACAGAACCACAGCAATGTTAGTGCAGAATAGGACGGTTGTCATTTCATCTGCAAAGGATATGGATGGCAATGCATTCATGTCTGACATGACCCTGATGCCTGTGACAAGGGACATAATGACCAATCATTTTGTTATGTCCGTAAATAATGCGTGTATTCTGATATACCTTGTGTGGATAAAGAGTCCTTCTAAATTAAGTCGTGTCCTCTTGCTTACACAGAGGGCAAAGCTTATTGCCAAATTGGCCTCTTTGAGTATAATGCATTGACAAACTGAGCCGTCATCCAAGAGCGAGCTGGCTGGGGTTCAGTGGATGTTCCTGCTGTCACCTGACACTTCTCAGGCCTCTTGAGCAAGAATTCAAGTCAATGGAGCGTGCTGGAGAAAAACGGCTGGCCTAATGGGGCCAGATGCATCCCCATGTTGTGCATCAGACCTCATTAGCTCCTGCATCCCCGTTATGGACATACTAGAAGAATGCCTTGTCTGGAGTCGAAGGTGCCTGAAGATGCTGGAGCTTTCTGTCAGTGTCATTAACACAATGGCAATTTTAC